TATTGATGTAATTTTCAAAATGTATTTTACTCCCCTGAGTCTTCACTTCACAATTAGGGTCGCCTCGCGCCTATGTGCGAAGAAACTCTAATTAGTTGGATAGTTGATCGTAAACCAAGAGGGTGACTAATTTGGACGAGTTGGTTGACGCGAATTTGCGTTGTATGGGAGGCAACTTAAGCCCATGCACCCCAATGGCATACACCAGTCAATAGGTCGTCGACGATTTGCTCCCATGAAACGAGGAAATTCCTGAGAAACAACACATCGCTTTGGTGACTTCTGTTATTGTTTTCGCTTTCGCTTTCGACCATATTATATTATACCAGTCGGCTGCGCAGGCTATTGCGTGCGGTAGGGGCTCTAGCCATGAGGGATGGATCCACATGAGCTTCTGATTTTCATAATAGACTTTTATCATCTGAGCCTCTTCCCTAACACTTCTGTAACGACCATCATTTTTTTGGGATGTGAAATGGGGCTGTATGTAGCCATGAAGAGTACTCCCATGTACCCAAATCAAATATCTCTGCAGTCCATGTAATCGAAGGAACATTGTGTAGTTTGGGCTGTGTATGGCCATGAACACTAACTTTGAAAGGAAAGTCCTTTCGGATAGTTGTAGGATTTACACGTCTCTACAGGGTATGTGTGGCCGAGGTTACTGCACAATCTATTTTATGAGCTGTGAATTAATGTAGTGCATTTGCTATTGAAGGAACTACTGTGTGTGGGACTATGGATACTAAGTTTTCGAAACTTTTTAGCCTAATTTTTGAAAGAGTCTAGTGGTATCCCCTAGTTGTACACCTATGTGGTCAGGGTGCCCTGCCCCGCCCTCTCTTTGCAAACCCCACCCACTTCAGACTCCGAACCACATTACTTTTATTACCTCTAGACACCGTTTCCCCGCGTTCTAAAACGCACCTGAAGAGACTTGAATTTTTATGTAAGCCCACTTCAGTGCCAATCCCGCCCACTTGTGGAATCTGACCACATTTGTTTCACTACACCTTACCCCTTTTTTCCCGCATCCCAGAACGTTTCTGAACCGACTTATGAATATTTGATCCAAGCTCCGCCCACTTTAGTGCCAGCCCCACCCACTTCTGGGATATGACCGAATTGTTCTTTTACACCCTAACACCTTTTTGCCGCGTCCCAGAACGTTTCTGAACCGACTTATGAATATTTGATCCAAGCTCCGCCCACTTTAGTGCCAGCCCGCCCACTTCGAGGATTTGCCCACATTCGTTCCATTAC